GTGTAAACTGTAAACTGTAAAGCACTGTTCCTCCCCACGGTACCCGTAGCTCGGCACAGGGGGAGATCCCACAGCTTGGCCCTGGTGCAGAGCTCAGTTCCTAACCTGGCTGAGCTGATTCTGTCTCTCTGAGATGGTTAACCAGCTGGCTCATTGGTGGAACCAGGGCACCCAGCCAGGGCATCTAGCTCCTTGATACAGTGGCTCTTGTGTCTCCGTAATGCCAGTGCCTGCTAGGGTGACCCCAGTGTCTGCCAGGGACCAGGCTGTTACTTGGACCCCTCACTCCCACCTCGTGGAGCAGTGTCTGTGGGAGACAGTTGCCGGGAAGGTGGAAGCAGACTCGAGAACCAGCATGCGTGGTACTTCTCAGTTAGCAAAGCACCATTGCTACCCATTCTCTGACGATCTAGGGAAATGATGTCATCACACCCATTCTACAGATCGGCAGCCAAAGCTTCAGGAGGAGCAATGATTCACCCAAGGTCGCAAGGTCTCTGACTCCAAATTCCAGGCTCTTCCCCCCAGGCAGATCTGAGGACCCACACCAGGATGAAAATACCCCCATGCACACCTCCAAAGGAGGGTACTGACCCAGAGCTGGCCTTTCCTAGCTGTACAGGAAGGTCAAAATGAACAGGAGCGGTCCAGGTAAAGAAGAAAACGGATCTGGACACACAAGGAAGAGAGAGGCCCTGGGAGAAAATGGAACAAAACCAGGGGGGTCTTTGTGACTCTCATTGTAGAACTTATCCCTGATTCTGTCACAGAAAGTGACAGACAGAGACAAACCAACAGGCAATTAGAGAGAGAGAGAGAGAGAAACACAGATGACTTTCTGGGAAGGCTGTCAGAGGCAGGCCTGAGGGCAATAGAGGATCTGGGGACACAATGGGAGAGGCTGCCTGTAAGATGGCAGCCTGTGTGGGCTTTATGATAGTCCTGGACTTAATTTTATGTTATTAAAAAAATGCAAGCTTTTCATTATGAAAGTGTGCAAACTTACATAAAAGAAGAGAGACTAGCATAAAGCACACTCATGTGCCCATCACCCAGCTCCCACAGTTGTCAGCACGTGGCAGTCTTGTTTTGCCGACACCCCCACCCACTCCCCCTCCTCCAGACAGCCTGTCATTTCATCACAGATTTCATTTTTGACAAGAAGCTTGCTTTCGCTGGCGAAATTCTCAAAGCTGTGCAGAAATGACCTGGCACACAAATCCGCTCTCAGATCTTCATCAGTCCCTGCAAGTCTCGGGGTTTTGTTTCCAAGACAGCTCAGACCAGCCTGGCCATAGGAACAGAAAATTACACTGAAGAGTCATAGAATGTGACAGTTGGAAATTACTTATGTGATCAAGTCCCAGCTCCCCAACCCACTACCTGGGTAAGCTTGCACATGTTTCCTGATCTTTTGGTGCTTCAGTTTCCTTATCTGTGAAATGGGGTGATAGTAATACTTCTCTCATGGGGCTGTTGTGAGGATGAAATTTGTTAATAAAGGTATAACCCTTAAAGCATAGCTTGGCGCACAGTAAGTAGGCCCTTGTGAAATGTTAGCTTTCCATTCATCCATTTAGGAAATACTAATGAGCACCTGCTGTTGCCACTTGTCGGGCCAGGGGCTGGGCACGTGGAGGTGAATGCCCCAAGGAGCTCCCCATCCAGTGGAGACACTGACCCATGAAAAGACATTTCCAAACAGTGGGCTGGCTGCTGTGACAGTGGGCTAAGTTCCAGGCAGTCTCTCCTCAATTCACAAGTCACTAAACTGAGACTCACGGGTCCCCTGAGCCTAAGGAGCCACAACACTTATCAGCAAAGATGGGGTGGACTCAGCAGTTTTTCCTGGCCAGGCCTGTTTTCATGAGGGTCTCGGAGGAGGCCAGTGACTTGGGATGGCAGTGGGGCCATTCTAGGCAAGGGTCACCCTGCCCCACAGCATGGAAGTGGGAGACTGGTCATGGGGCCAGGTGTGGGCAGCTGCTCTGGCTACCGCTTAATCAGGTAAATGAGTTCAGTCCACTGTGAGTCCCTAACACCCCCACACCTAGCAGGAAGCCAGGGCTGCCAGGCAGGCTGCCCATGACATGCCCATGAGTGGACTGAGGCTGTGGAGGGGTGCTCAGCCTGGAGAAGGGCTGGCCCTAGACATTCCAGAGACACAGGAGCAGACAGGGTCTAGAGGCTAAGGAGGTAGAAACACAGCCAATGAGAGTTCCCTTTCAGCCCAACAAAAGGAAAACCCTTCCCTTTGGTCAGAGCTGTTCAAAAGCAGGGAAAGGATTGGAAAGAAAATCAATACTCACTGAGCACTGAGGCGCTTTTTCAGGTGATGTGACCCGCGCACCAAACGAGTATTCCTGACTCGTCAGCCAGGAGTCTACCGAGAGGGTACCTGAGGATTGGGTGGGAGACTGGAAAAGAAAGAGACTAGAGACGAAAGCTGGGGACAGGAGGTCCACCCAATGCTGACAGCAGAGAGTGGCCCCATTTATTGTTTACACACAGCTTCTATAGCAAAAGTAACTTTCCTTAGGTAGGGGGGTTTTGGGAACTTGAGGGAATAGTCCCCTACTCCCAGGGAACACCTCCCCCGGGGCTTTCCATAAGGTGTAGGGAAGCAACCTTCCCAGGGTGAAAGCAAAACATAACAAGCAGAAACTGTTAATAGGATGGCCTTCCACTCTGTAGCTTTCAAGGCCGTTGTCTGTTTTCTCCTCAGCAGCCAGCCTTCCCACGGTGCTCACCCGGGCCTGAGAGCCTGTCAGCCTGCCAGCTTTCAGGCTTAACCCTTACTGCAAACCTCCAGCTCTCAGGCCCCTACATCTCCCCCTTTTTTATTTATTACTTAAAGGCAAACCTCTGATTTAATGAGGCTGCGGTTGGCATCGCGGCGACTGTGTCTGCCTTGGGTTGTCCTCCTCGAGGAATGGAATCTTACCCGTCATGGGCTAACCAGCCATCTTACAGCCAGGGCCTGTCTTAGGTTGATTCCTCCTGGGGGGATCTTACCCGTCATTGACTAACCAGCCATCTTATGGCCAGCCCTCTACAACTGGTGTCTGCCTTAGGTCGTCCCTCACTTAGGGATCTTACCCGTCATTGACTACGCAGTCGTCCTATGGGCCAACCTCGCGAAGCCAAACCTAGGGATGGAGATGGAGTATTACTGCCGGACACAAGGAATATTAACTAGAGGGAGAGAAGTGGGGCTATACAGAGAACTAACGCCGTCGTGGACAGGGGCGTTTCATCTCCAGCATGAGTCCTGTGCGATGAGCCTCTAGGCTGACTGCCTGAAGGCGGGATTTCAAAACTGCTTGGCGAACTGAAACAAAGCACAATATTAGAAGCAAGAGAACTACAATCCCTACTGAAGTCCAGGTGATAGTCTGGACAATGGAAATTGATTTGAACTTGTTAAATGTGTTAATTATATCCTTAGCTAGATCTTTTGGGTTAGTAATATCCAGTTTGCTATCCTGCATAGTAATCATTTCTTTGTGAAGCAAGTCAAGGTCGATACTAAGATTTGTACTATGCCAAATGCCCTGAAGGTGATTAAAAATGAGTTTCCAATTCCACTGGGTACAGTTATACTTACAACGAGCGACGCAAATCCCTCGATACTTAGCATAACATCGGAGGGCAAGATAGTGGCGTATGACCGCAACCTCATTACCTATCTGAAGAACAACGTCCTCCAATGCACTAAGGCAAAGCTCCATTTTTGTATCTATATCTTCTTGACTATAAAGCACTGAAGAAGTATTTTGAGCAAGTGTTCAACATAATCTGCTGTTTTGATAGAATTGGTTAAAGATACAGCGACTGTAATTGCCGTGGCTATGATAGAAATAACTGCTGCGAGGCCTGCTATGATGAGTCCAACTGCCCATCATTTCGGCTTGAACCCTTGTTTATTTCCTCAAGGGCTTGCATCCCTGGGTCATCATAACCAAGGACACTAAATAGTAGTGGGGATGACAACATAAGGTGGTTGACGAAGGACTAGCATAGACTGTCCTTTGTCCCTTGGATCAATACAGTTGATGAGGTGACAGTTTGGACAAGAAATATTAAACATAGACTGACCTTTACTAATCTGTATCCCTCCAACCAAGATAACATTAGGGGCTTGGACACAGGCAGTAACGGCGGACTGCTTTCCATCCTGGTCCCAGGGTGTTTGGGAGTTAAGGTGAGTTATATAATCTGAGGCTGCCCATAGCCTCCAGATGTCTCTTTGGATAATAGGAATATTTGTGGTTAGTACAGGGGCAACACATCCTTCTGGTTTGGGGAGCTGTGTCCCTGAACTATAATAAGGGATTGACCAATCAAAGACACTAACGTGGGAGTCTGGTAACCGATAGCTTGTAGCTATCAGATAGCCACAATCTCTCCATATTATATGACCGTCATTATATTGATAGGGGCTTTGCGTGCACAGAGGGAGCAGCCTCTGTGCACCTGCTTCTTGGGGCTGACCTCCTGACGGTCTTGTAAAAGTTAACTCTGATCTGTATATTAGGTATGGATTTTGTCTATTTTTCCCTGAACTATTTTTTGTTATGTTTTCCAAATGAAAGCATCCCGTCATGGGTGTTTGGGAGGCACAAAGTGGAGGAAGCCGGGACAGACCAACATAGTTAAAGGCTGTCCGTTGAAAGGTTATGTTTTTTGTCCTGCCTCCAAGTGGGATGGAAGAATTAACCCAAACTAGGACTGGCTTGTCTCCCCACATTACGGGAGCAAGCGTCGGGGGGTTTGGGAAGTACGTCCAATACGTGTCCCCCCGTGTTATACTTACCTGCCATGTCAGAATAACCAGTATTGCAATTAGAAATTTATTAAGCTTAACCTGTTTCCAGGTTTGAGCCGATCTCTTCCTCGCCCTCCTGGACTGTTGGCTCTCTGTTTTCTCCATGGTGCTGTTTGACTAGGCGTTCTAGATGCCCCCGAGGACCGTCCGCTGTCCTAGGAAAAACACAAACATGTCCTCTCCCCCACACTTGGACCAGATCCGGTCCATGCCAATTACCCGCGAGGGGGTCTTTCCAGCGGACGAGAGCCTCCGCAGCAGGACTGGGATTCCAGAAACGGTCTGCTGCAGAGTGACCTTGAGCATCCGTTCGTAAAAAATTTAAAGTGAAAAGCGCATGGTTTAGTTGGTTGTATACTAAATTCCCATAGTCTCCCCCTTTTTGTTTTAATAATTGATTTTTGGGTGAGCGACAAGCACGCTCAATAATTCCTTGACCCTGTGGGTTATATGGAATACCTGTGAGGTGTTGGATCTGAAAAGTTAAGCAAAAATTTTTAAAAGCGTTGCTAGTATAGCCAGGTCCATTATCAGTCTTTATGACTTTTGGAATGCCCATAGTGGCAAATGCCTGGAAACAGTGACTGATAACATGTTTTGTTGCCTCACCAGAACGTGCTGTGGCAAATAAGAACCCAGACTTAGAGTCAATAGTGGTATGAACATAAGGAGTACTTTTAAAACTAGGGATATGAGTAACATCCATCTGCCAAATGTGATTTGGAAGTAACCCTCAAGGGTTAACTCCTAAATGTGGTTCAGGAAGCAAAGTTGTGCAGCCGGCACACTGTTTAACTATCTGTCTAGCCTGCTCTCGGATGATCTTAAACTGATGTCTTAGTGACCGAGCATTTTGGTGGTGAAGAGCATGAGACTGCATGGCCTTTTCTATAGGGCTTGTAGGTGTAGCAAAAAAGGCCTGAACTGAGAGACATAGTGGTTGAGTAGCCGCATCTGCAGCAGCATTGCGTGCAGACAAAGGTCCTGGAAAATCAGAGTGAGCTCTAATATGGCCAATATACAGTGGCTGTTGTTTAGCAAGAATGGCCTGTTTTAATTGATGGAACATATGAAGCAGCTCCTCTGTGGTGGCTGAGCTAACATGAGCTGTCTCTATAACCTTACAGACACTGAAAACATAATGACTATCTGTGTAGAGGTTTAATGACTGGTGTGAAAACATATGTAAAGCCCAAGTAACTGTGGATAGCTCCACCCGCTGAGCTGAGCTATACCCTGTGACTTTGGTTAAGGTCTGAGTGGGATTGTGGACGGCTGCCCTGCCATTGCTAGAGACGTCTGTGAAAACTGTGATCACTCCTGGAATGGGCTGAGTTTGTAACATTGAAGGAAAAATGAACGACGCAGACCTTGCAAACTGTAAAAGTTTATTAGCAGGGTAATGACATCCAAGCTGACCAAGAAAATTTGCCAAAGCTATTTGCCACTCCGTGGAGTTTGCATATAACCAAGATTGCTGACTACTGTTAAAAGGAACTACAATGGCCTGAGGCTCTTTTCCAAAGAGCTGGAGACATCTTTGTCTCCCCTTAGTAAGAAGTAAATCTGCTAATTCATAATATGGCTGAAGATGTTTAGAAGGAATGCTCTTTAAATGTAGCCACTCTAAAGGACCAGCAGGTTGCCAGATGACCCCTGTAGGTATAGGGTCTGTATTACAAATGATGAGAGATACAGGTTGGGATGGATCTACTCGAGTAACCTGAGCCAGCTGAATGAATGGCCTGTTCTACTCTGGCCAAGG